TTCGGTTGTGGCAGATTCGGATTCTTTCGCTGGTCTAAAATTTTTGGCATCCTCTCTCTCTCTCTCTCTCGCGCCCGCGCGTCTTCGTGTGGGCGAGAGGAGACCCTTTTTTAAGGCCACTGTGTGGGGATGAATACTTCAGAGTTTCGTACGGAATTTGGAATTTGGGATTTGTTGAAAATGCCGCATTCGCCAAGAACAGGACGATTATTAAAGGGAAAAAAAAGAGACGGATTATGTTCTGGTCCTTTCTTGGAAAAGGCCCGAGCGCATTCCCTACTTGAGGAGGTTTTGTTCTCGTTTCGTGTACACTATACACGCATCCCGGTCATCCAATCTGAAAATCTCACGGCCACAGTGTGACCAATCGAAAGAAAAAAAAAAGAAAAGACTTGAAACCAGAACTAAACCTCCGCAAGTGGGGCACGGCTCCCCCCCGGGGAGGAGGAGGAGGAGCTAAAGGAGGAGCAGGAGGAAGAGAGGAAGAGGAGGAAGAGAGGAAGAGAGGAAGAGGAGGAGGAGGAGGGGAAAATAATTGTTATATGTATATTTTTGTGAGAACAGGTGAGGCGATGGAGAAGACCGTGGGTCGCTTCACTAGTTGTCTCCTTTCTCTTTCCTTCTGTCACCCTCGCGATCATTTTGTCAGCAAGATGATCTTGATTGATTGATCGTTTGATTGATTGATTGATTGATTGATTGATTGATTGGTTAATTGATTGATTGATTGATTGATTGATTGATTGGTTTGATTGATTGATTGATGGATTGATGACCTCGCGATCACTTCATCAGCAGTATGATTGATTTGATTGATTGATTGCTGACGTGGCATGATGAAGTGGAATGAATCACCCGATTTCTTCGTGAGGCCACGTGATCAATCAATCAATCAATCAATCAATCAATCAAGCAAGCAAGCAAGCAAGCAATCAAGCAAGCAATCAATCAAGCAATCAATTACTCCTTTGGGCATTTAATTTTGACGTTCCTGGCCTCAATTGAGGCCTTTTTTTTTTTCTTTTTTTTTTTAACCGAAATCGTCAGGTCCTATTGGTGGGAACACGGTAAGCCCTGACTATGATTTCGGTTTAAACCACCAGGACCCCTGCCAGTGTTGGGAAATTACAATGTACTTGTCTGTCCCCCAAGAAATCGGTGGTGGGGGCCAGGGTAGGCCAGTCCCATAAATCTTAGTTTTCTTTTGCCTGCGGGTGAAAAAAAAGGGGAAAAAAAAAAGCTTATGCACTGCAATGATGTCCGGCAGGCAGTGTAGGAGGCCGTGCTCACAGTGTTCCTCTACAGAATGCATCCTACAGCAAAGACGATCACATTCTTTTTTTTTTTTTTTAAGACGACGACGAAGACGATCACATTCTGAAACTGAAACTTTTTTTTTTTTTTTTTTTTTTTTCTCGTTTGTTTATTATGAGTCCCCTGCCACCGAGGCAGTGCGGAATCCCTGATCTGCTCTGGCTGTGTTTCGAGGATTGTAACCCTGATGTATCCAGCCGTTTTCACGGCCGAATGCATGTTTCCGTTTTTTTTTGTTTTTTTTTTTCTGTTTCTGGAATCTGACAATCTGAATCCGTGATCTGCTCGGGCTGTGTTCCCTCAGAGGATTGTAATCCTCGTCACACTGGCACTTAGAGGAATGCATCCAACCATTTTCACCGTCGAAAACGTGTTTCTGTTTTTTTTTTTTTTTTTTTTTTTTTTTTGGAATTTGACAACCTGGCCACGGGGCTCAGATGCCCTCAATGAGAGCGCACTCACACTACCACTTCCAAGAATGTATACAACTGCAATCACGGCCAGAGCATTGTTTCCTTTTTCTTTTTTTCTGAGTTCACGGCCGCAATATTTTTTCTTCTTTTTTTTTTTTTTGTTCTTTCCCTGAGAGTACCAGAAAGAAAACGGAGTGGTACCCAGGCTCGGCAAACTCGGAGCGCAGTGAAATTCAGGGCCGGCAAAAACAGGCTCGGAGGTACTGGTGGTTATAAAAAAAAAAAAAAAAACGTAGTACCGAAATTGCGGTCAGGAACGTCCAAGGTAAATGCCCAAAGGGGGTAATTAACGATCTGCGGGTCATCAAAAGGAAGTGGGCATGAAGGGGGTGGACTTGCATCGCATGCATGTGGCATGATGGAGGTTGGCCATCATCGTTGAAGGTGTGACTGAGGATCTGGTCTCCTGGAGTGGGAGGAGAAGGCCTGAGTGAGACCTGTTTACTGCACCAAAAAAAAAAACAAAAAAAAAACTGGGAATCTGCTCTCCTGGTTCATTTATTTGGGAGGGGGAGAAGAAAGCCTTGGTAGGTCCCCCCCCCCCAAAAAAAAAAAGGAATCTGCTCCTGGTTCATTAATTTTGGGAGTAGGAGGAGAACGTCGAAGGCCTTTCTCTGCAAAAAAAAAAAAAAGGAGGAAGTGGGCAATATATTGATGGATGTTGAAGAGGAGGGTGACGAAAAGGGCAAAGGGGGGGGGGGGATGGAAGCACGTCTTTTTTTTTTATAAGAGAAAATAAAAAGTAGGAAAAATAGAAAGAAATGAAGGAAATAGCAGAAAACAAAACAAAACAAAAAAATCAAGGAAAACAAAGAATTTTTTTTGGATATGAAAAAAAAAAAGCTTGGATCGCGCCCTCGTTGGCGTCCTCGTCACCCGCCACGTCGTCAACATCGATCGAAAATAGAAAACAAAAAAAATTGAAAAAAAACCAGAAGAAAATATGAAAAATGCAAAATCAAGAACAAGAAAAAATCAAACATCATTAAAAAAAAAAAAACACACACAAGGAAAGGAGAAAGAAAGAAAATCGAAAAGAAGAAGGAAATGAGCAAAGATTAAAAGGAAGATGATCAGGAAGGTAGTCATGATGACAATCAAGAAGAAAAACACAAATTGAAAAAATCATCAGAAAGAAAAAAATCGAAAAGAGAGGAAGTAGGTCAATAAGGAA